ACTACAGTTCAAACTTTCATTAATTATTCAGTGTGGGAATGGACTACACAGTATCTATCACTTAGGAAAAAAGAAATAATGTTGTCATGAGGTATATATCTGCTTCATCTTTTTCTCTGCTGAATGGATCCCCAAAGCAAGCCATAAATTACTGTTATTAGGCCTTATAGAACCTTGTATCAGTGGCTTTAAAAACATCCAGCTTATCCAAGACTATGGCCTGGAATTGGACTTACTCCCATGGGCTAGCTCTCAACCAAACAATAGTCAGGCCTATGAGCTGAGTGCCTTACCCCAGGGAGGTGCACTCCTTAGAACAGTCAACTGTGAGAGATTAGAAGGGCAGTATTTGCACAAGTAAAAAGCTAGACAGACAGGAATGCATGTGTAAGAAAGACCCAGAGAAGGGATAGCCACAGGGAGGAGGTGGGAGGAGAGCTGTTCCATTATGGGAATTGTGCCTTAAAGCAAAATGTGTGTGAACTATTAGGTGTAAATGAATCTGCTTTGTACATTTGTACCCAAATCACAATCTTTTTTTTTTTTTTTTTAATCCAGTTTATGACTGTGGTAAGTGCCTTTAAGATGGCCTTAATGATTCTGTCTTTTGGTATTCATGTCATTGTGTAGTCCCCTACCCTTGGGTGTAGGCAGAAGTAACGGGATGTCACTTTTGAAATCAGGTTATAAAATGACTGTGGCTTCTTTTTTAGCTCTCCTTCTTTGTCTCTGATTCCTTGATCTGGAGGAAACAAAATACTGTGTTATGAGCAGCTCTAGGAGAGGCCTACATGCTGGATTTATCTCTTACTTGAGTTTTGAGGTGGATGACCGCAGCCCTGACCAATACCTTTGTTTTAGCCTACTGAGAGATTTTGAGCTAGAGGCACCCAGATAAACCATGCCTAGGTTCCTGACTCACATAACTTGTGAGATAATAAATCTTTCTTGTTTTAAGCCACTCAGTTTTAGGGTTATGCAGCAAAAAATAATGGATACATGGCTGGATTCATCAAGAGAAATGTCTGTCATCTTCAAACTAACTTATTCTCTTAACATTATTTGGATGTTATTAGGATGTATTACTGATGATATGAAAGAAAATCAATTTGTATCATAAATTCAATGATGAAGACTCAGAAAATTGAACCACATAGTAACCAGTCAGGAAAAGGAAAACAGAAGTGGCATATTCCATGAGAAGTGTAGTTTGAAAAGAATCAGAGATTGTTGGGAAGAGGCTGAGACTTTATTACTTTTTATATTTATTCTTTTATTTAGTGCTTTTTGTCAAGTCTCCTCAACTCAAGAGAAAGTAAATTCTCTTGATAAACTTTTCAAAATGGAAGATGAGTGGGGACATAAGTGGGCCTGAAGGAACTTTTCACTTTGATCGAAGGCAACAGTTTCATTGAATAAATATGTAAGTGGAATAGATTGACGACAAGGCTGAAGACAGTTAGACATGAAATTTTAATGAACTATTTTTTTGTATTAAGATATACATTAAGAAGTCAAACCAGAGAGACCAATTAATAGATATTTTCCAGAAACCATGTTTTAGGGTGATCATAGAAATGGTCAGGCCTGATAATCATCTGGTACCCATAGGTAAGTTACAGTGGCTTACATACATTCTGATAGATCAATGTTATATTCTCATTGACCAGGAACCACCCACACTGGTCATCAAATATTTTTCACATCACCCCTAGACATTATGAACTTTAGAGAAAATTTTGGTTTTCTTTAGCCTTGTATTATCTATATGTAAAGTTGGACTATGGGAGGTACAAAATTTCTTGTGTCCTATTTGTGCCCACAAATATGGCAGTGGGGTAGGGGTATAAATGAAGCCATACGATAAACCTTGCACATCTTTCTGAAGCATTAGTTTTGCTTAGTGGTGCTAATTGGAAATATTTTCATGTTAAACCACACACAAACAATGCAAAATCACATGAGTTGTAAGAGAAAGGAGATTCAAAAAAACGTGTCTTTGGTGGATAACCTTTGCATTTATCCCCTAATACGTCATTCTCTCTCCTCTACTATTATGGGTATTTCAGGAGAAAATTTTGAGGGACATTGATTTAGGATATTTGTGGTTATAGAATCACTTATACTGTGAATATAAGTGGGTTCCATCGTCAATCTTTATGTTCCTTGACACCCTAGAAAACCAGAAAAGCAAACTGCAAGAGATGGAAACTCTTAAGAGGGCATCTCCAGTATTTCTTTCCTTCTGTCATTAAGTTATATTTATAACCAATTCAAAATATTTTCAAGGTGATAATTTATATCATGACTGATCTATACCAAAATGTTTTAAATCACTAACTGCATCAAAAATCTTTATTATTTCTTTTGTTAACATATTATTTTATTTAATTTTCCCTTCCTACTTGTTGGAACCCTATGTATTTAACCTATTTTCTTTTTTAAAGAACATTTTAGAGAGGGGTGCTCTGCGTATCTGGATATTTTGCACTATGTTCTCCCTTCCCAAATAAACGGGTTCATTACAGAAGAGTTGAATAGGGATAAGAATTGATAATTTTATTATTTCTTTGCTCCTTTTGAGTCAAATCATCATAATATATACTAATCATTGCATATGTAGTGAATTGCCAGAACATGGGTCAACTTTATATGCAAATGTAAAGGTCATATTCAACAGAAAAGAAAAGGAAAAAAAAGAGCCACTGGGTAATAATCTAAGAAGCATATGCTTCGTGACTTACCTACTCTTATGACACTCTGCACCTAACCAGCTACATAACCTTGAGTGTATCACAATTTATTTCCTCATCTGTAAATGATCAAGAAGAACAAAGAATTCTAAATGTCTGTAAGTAGTGCAGATTTTATTTTCCAAAATGTACGTGATAAACGTGAAAAATAGGAGAGAGAGGAAAAAATTCAAAGCAGATGCTTCTAAAAAGATTCTATTGATAACTTATACTACCAGGAATGGATTGACTACTAAATATTTGTTTTGCTTAATTTAACTATGTGATGTAATTTGATGGTAACAGTAACTCCACAGATAAAAAAGTATTTGGTCCTCGTATGGCTCTTGTATCTTATATGTATATACACTATTTTATTTAAATTTCTGTATTATCATGTTTTACCCCAACTTTTTTAAAATGTAGTAAGATTAGTCTTATTATGAATTTTCTTGATATTCAAACACTGAATGATTTCATATAAATAATTGATTATAGACAGACACTAAGGAAAGAAAATGAAAGACATATATCCTCCTCCATCCTTAATATGCTCACACTGTTCTAGTGACATACTCTGATATTGGATCCTAGGCTAGTAAGATGCCCTTGAATCAGATGATAGTTGAGAGTATCTTTTGTTGTATCTCCCCAGAGTTTATCTGAGGAGAGTAGTTCTTTCTAGCTTCCTGCAGCCTGGTCATGTCAGTGAGCCATGAGAAAATTAAATGAATCTGTTGTTTTTGTTGACTTAGCCTTTTCATATAACTCTCATCTATAAATGTATTGCCAGAAATATATATGTAAAATAAAGGGACTTGAATGACAGATATGTTGAAATTAAAACCATAAAGGTTAGCATGCCACTCAATTTAATTTAAATAAATATAGCCCTCCTATTGGAAAGCACTACCAATATGTGAAGTGGAAATGCATCTTTCTGATAAGATAAATGTATCTAGTCCCTGTCCTCAAGCCTTCATGATATTCAGGGCCCCAAACCCTTAAATATACCTTCTATTTTGGGTGTTGTGTTCTTAACATATAACAGGAAAACAACTTTCAATACTGCCATCTTTGGGATGGTAGAGATTTTTTTAAAAAGACTACTAATGTTAAATATGCATATATTTAAAAAATATGAAACCTTTATACTCATGAACTCAAATAGATTCTGAACTTTAAGATCCTGTAAGTTCTTTTATCTGCAGTAATTTCACTTAGATAATCCAATTTAATTGGCAAGAGTATATGGCAAAACACTTTTTACATTTTTGTATTGTTTCCTGCAAGACATCTATTGTAAGCATTGCTGCAGGCTGTCATTTTTGTCTACCATCCAGGATTTGCTGGACCAAGTGCTGTGTAATCAACTTGGTGTAGGTCACGAGGGGGAGGAAGAACTTGCAGTTGAGCCAGACGGTTTTGTTATTCCTTTAGAATTGAAAGCATATGAAACAGATACAGCATATTAAGATTATTTTTTATATAAATAACATAAACTTAAATAACAAAACAATAAAGTTCAAATACAACTTAAAATAGAGTTTAATGCTGTAACCACAGGAAAAAAAAAAAGCATGATTATTTGTGGGAAGAACATTATTAAAAGCCATAATCCCAAATATTAATTATACAAAAGATTATGTTACTTGAAAACAAAGATTTCTGAATTTTACTTTTAGGATTTATAAAATGTTATTTTGTGGCAAGTGAGATGAAGTACAGTATTGCTATTTTATATACAAGATTCTTTAAAATATTCTTTTAGCATACCCTTTCAATTTGAGCAACATTAGGAATTTGTTCCTGTTAAAAGATACAAGCATGTCCTAATCCTATACTTTTGTAAAACTACATATTTGATTTAATTCCATAATAGAATTTTTTAGAATATTTTTTGTTTAGATTTTCAGTGGATTATTTTTTTATGAGAAAACATTTCAAATACGGCTCATCTTCCATAGTTAGTGTTGACTTGATTATCTGACAAATCATTCCAGCAGCCTCTAGGTCTGACATATCTTATATAACATAATCTGCATTATTATTATTATAGCAGCCATTTTATAAGCAGATAGGGATATTTAAATAATTATTATCAGATAATCAAATCTAACATACTCTTAAGGGTAAATTAATTTAAGAAAAAAAAAACAACTATTACTAACACCATGATTGTACAACCAGTTTTACAATTTTTTACAACTTTTAGTTACTAAATCTGATTCTTGCTTATATTTTTCAAATCTTTCTTTAATGCAGTCTCTTAAAATAAACATAATTACGCAAGTCCAGCTTGATCAGTTTTTCAGTAGTTTTCCAGCCTTTCTTGGTTACTTTAAAAAAAAAAGGAAAAGGAAAGGAGAGAGAAAACAGTCCACTTAAAGAAATCTCCCTGCTGGAACTGGTTTCTTACATACTGTATATGATTAGGTTACTGCCATAGGAAGAAAGTGGGCTATTCTTTGTTCTTTCTTTGTTTTTTTCCCTCTTACAGGAATTCCCTTTTGATTCAATGCAACAAACATTTCTCCTCCACTGTGTGTCCATTTAGCTGATGCATATGTGTTGTAATGATTTTCCAGAATTAATTCTTTGAAGTTGCAATCTTCATTGCATTCTTTCTGTTCAAAATAACAAAGAAACAACTGATTTTTAGAAAGGCTTAATTAAACAAGGAGTAAGCAGGTAATATTTGGTAGAATTAAAATCTATATGACTTTTCTTTAAACATCAGGTTGAATGGACTTAATGCAGTTTATTAGATATAAGTGTAGCATATTTGTAAAACCATCATTTTAAATTTAAAGAAAAAAAGATAAAATGATAACTCATTTAGTTAAGCAACATGGTTTCAAATATGTTGTTTTTTGGCATGTCAGTTTTTATATTTCTTTTGTTATGAGGAGCCATTTTGTCCTACTTCAAACCCCAAACCAAACTCACTGTTACTGAGTCTATTCTGACTCGTAGCAACTCCATAGGACAGAGTAGAACTGCCTTATAACGTTGCCAAGGCTGTAAATCCTATGGAAGCAGACTGCCTCATCTTTCTCCCACAGAACGGTAGAGGTTGGAACCATCAGCCTTTTGGTTAGCAGCCCAATGCTTTAACCACAGCACCACCAGAGCTCCTTTTCTTCTACTCAGCCATTCTCAGATTGCTATGTCCAAGCCACTCATTTCCCAACTACTAGAAATTTGGTTAGTTAGCAGAACCTCTGCCCCCATAGGTGTTGGACAAATTTCACAACTTCTACTTACCACTCTCGAGCAGTACAGTAAGGAACTCTGGTGATGTAGTGGTTAAGGCATTTGGCTGCTAACCAAAAGATCAGTGGTTCAACACACCCACTGCTCCATGGGAGAAAGATGAGGCAGTCTGCTTCTCTAAAAATTTACAGCCTTGGAAACACAATGGGACAGTTCTACTGTGTCCTACAGAATCTCTCCATGAGTTAGAATTTACTCAATAGCAGTAGGTTTGGGGGACGTTGCTTTTGATAGTGTTGGAAAATAAAAGTTTAATAATAAAAGGTTAATTTATTTGTTCATTTATCTAACCATGCATTTATTCATTCATTGATTTAATTAAGCATATTATATAATTAGCTTGTGCCAGACATCTACAGACATCCTGTAGAAATGCAAAGAAAAGCCAATTATACTTTATAATAGTAGGATGAATTGTTACATATTTTACATTGTAAGAAAGTGGGAACAATGTCAATACTTAAGAGTTCAAAGCCCATGATTGTGAGATTGATGTTGATAAACAAACTGAACAGCAGGATTTTTTTCCTTCAAGAATTTTCATGTCAGCAATGTGCAAATTTGATGAACTTTAACAAAAAGAGCTTTAATACTGACAAATGGAAATTTTAGAATTTAAGTATCTAAAAAGCTCATGGAATTTTAGAGCTTGAACCGTCCTTAGAGCTCAGCCAATCCAACTAATTTTACAGATAAAGAAAGCAAAATCCAGAGAGCTTAAGCAGTTTGCCCAGGGTCACACAGAAACATCTTGTCTTAATGCTTAGATATAAAGCATTTTAATGCTTTTAATTTAATAAAGTTATTAAATTATGTAGTTAGAGAGAAATTAGTTCCTTTTCTTTATTTTCCAGAAAATCAAGATGCTTTTGACCAAGATAAATCTGAATAATTAAGTCTAAGCTATTAATTGTCAATACCTTTGCATAGAGTTTTCCTTCTTTGTTCATTGCAAGATAGTATTCACTCTCCACCCCTTTGATTGCCACAATTCCAACAGCCACTGTCCTGATTTCCATGATATCTACAAGAAATCACAGAAAAATATGTAGATTATTTACTCAGCTTTGCAGATTATCCAAGAATGGTCATTCATGTTTATATCTATTTCAATTAGAAATTGTTAGTATTATTAATGTAATAATCAGGACAAAACTCCCTCCCCACATCTCATATACACAAACACCAAAGTAATCCTTATTAAATATAGAGAATACAAACTGTCTTTAATTTTGTTTTGTAGAAAAAAAATCAGGGTTCAAATAAACTGTTTCATATTTGAATTTATCTTTTTATTCTCTGGAATTGCATTTCTGATTTACTATATTAATAATAATAGCTAACTTTTATTGAACTCATGCTATATGAGGAGGATTGTTGCAGTGCCCTTATGTATAAACTCATTTAATCATCAGCACAACCTATAAGGCACATATTGTTGTTTTACAGATCAAAAAACTGAAGCACAGAGAAGTTAAGTAAAAAAAATTTGCCCAAATTCTCACAGCTGCTAAGTAGTAGAGCTGGGATTTTAACCTAGATAGTTGCTTCTTAATCATTATATAATACTATGAAAGTATGTAATAAGCTAACATCTTTACTTCCCTTTTTGGCTAAACTCTATCTTAAAAAAATAACTGTTAAGAAAATATATCTTGAATATGCTGAAATTAAATAAAATATCAATTGATGTAATTATCAATTATCAAGAGCCTGTTCTTGTTGTTAGGTGCTGTGGAATCAGTTTCTCAGAGTAGAACTGTCCATAGGGTTTTCTAGGCTGTAATCTTAACAGGAGCAGATTGTCAGGTCTTTCTCTTGTAGAGCCACTGGGTGGGTTAGAACCACTGACCTTTTGGTTAGCAGCTGAGCACTTAACCATTGTGCCACAAGGGCTCCTAAACAGAGTTTAGGACCTTAAGAAAAAAAAAAGATTAAGCATTGCAAACTAGTGAGTTCCTTTGATACATGAAAAGGCAAATGAAAACCAAATTTTGACTCTTGTTCATATAATATTTTATAACTATATTTTTTGCATTATTTTTTAATCTTTATTGAAATAGTTTTTACAAAGCATGTAATCACATGAATTTAACTACTTTTTCTTTTGTTATGTATGTCTTCCTTAAGTGCTATATTTTAATGATTCAGTCTAAATACAGTAAATCTCAAATTTTTTTAAATGATGTACAAATTAAAATTCTAGTGAATTTTTATGTTAATTATACTTTCTATGTGAAGGCAACTGGTAGCATAGTGGCTAAGGCACTTGACTGCTAACCAGAAGGCTGGCGGTTCAAACCCACCAGCCACTCCTCGGAAGGAAGGTTGGGCAATCCTACTTCCGTAGTGATACTGCCTCGGAAACCCAAGGAGGGGTCGCTATGAGTCAGGGCTGACTAGACGGCACATAACAACAATAACAACATGTGAAGGCAAAGGAGTTCTGGTAGCATAGTGGCTAAGACACTTGCCTGCTAACCAGACAGCTGGCGGTTCATACCCACCAGCCACTCCTCGGAAGGAAGGTTGGGCAATCCTACTTCCGTAGTGATACTGCCTCGGAAACCCAAGGAGGGGTCGCTATGAGTCGGGTTTGACTCGACAGCACATAACAACAACAACAACATGTGAAGGCAAAGCCCCGACATATTCTCTTACCCTGTGTTTAACACAATGCAACAAAAGTTCCAAGTGAAAAACCTTTGCATAAATCTTGTCTTTAAAAGTTGTTCTATGAAATACTTAATTAAAGGAAAATCTCAGTTTTTCACTCTATACCTTCACTTCCTGCTCTTAGTTATTTATTTTTCTTTCTGTTTTCCTGTCTGGAGAATAACATTATTACCCACTTCATTGAGATTTGATTTAGCCTCACTAACATTGTTATCAGCTTCACATACCAGAACCAAACCCACTGCCATCGAGTCAATTGCAACTCATAGTAATCCTGTAGGACAGAGTGGAACTGCCCCCATAGAGTTTCCAAGGCTGTAAATCTTTAGAGAAGCAGAATGCCTCAGCTTTCTCCTTGGGAGTGGCTAATGGGGTCAAACCGCTGACCTTTTGATTAGCAGTCAAATGCCTTACCAGGTACCACCAGAGTTGCCTATCGAAGCCTTTTTCCTAACATACTCTGCTTTGCATTAGTCAGAGCTCATCTAGCTGAGCATTTCACAATTGTTTGTCTAGAAACTGAAGTCTAAAAGAAAATGCAAAGGAGTGAATATTAATATTTTTAAGAAGTTTATGTATATAAGTAACATTCACAGTAAATTTATTCTCCAAGGTATAAGAGTTATTACAACATGGGTGTATCAAATTGTTAACATAATGACTCTGGTAGCATAATGATTGAGTTTGAAAAATGAGACAATATTTCAAGCAAATTGACAATTTATACTTGTCAACAATATCCAAGAAAAACAAAACTCACTGCCATCAAGTCGATTCCAACTATTAGCGACCCCTCTTTGGGTTTCCAAGGCGATATCTCAGAAGTAGATTGCCAGTCTTCCTTCCGAGGAATGGCTGATGGGTTTGAACCTCCAGCCTTCTGGTTAGCAGTCAAATGCCTTAGGCACTATGCCACCAGAGCTCCCAACACAGTTGTCAACAATAGTGCAATTTGTTATTTGCTAGCCTTACAAACTACGGGATAGTCCTAAGTGGCTTTTTTTTCCCTTGTAGTTCAATAATTCATGAATTTATCTAAACCTCTTTGCCTATTTACTATTTAATCTTGTATTGCCACTTGGACTAGGAAGTGAAGAACCTTGTTATAAACTGCTGTTACATTAAAAAAAAAATTCTCCAACATCTTCTAGAATTTTAGATATTCTCTAATGTTGATGATTATTCTTAGTTCTTATTACCAACAGCTTTCACAAATTTAAAAGGTTTTAACTTTTCAGTATAAAAAATTAGGGTTTAATGTTAACATTAGCAGATCTTCATAACTCACTGAACTATTAGTTTCCAAATGACCACTTCATGATGTTTAAAAAAAAAAAAAAAAAAACACAGGTAAAGAAATCAATTCCAAGTCCAATGAAAGTGAATGGATTTAAGCATAACTGGGTATGAAAAATGTATTGATATAGTTTCAGATCCCACATTGCAACTAACCTTTAAGAAGCTATCAAGTCGGGGATTTTTTTATTATTATTATTTTTCCTTGGTTGTAATCTTTTTATTATTTTTAATTTTATTGTGATTTGGGTGAAATTTTACAGAACAGATTCATTTTACATTCAACAGTTCAAACACATTTTGTTTTGTGACACTGATTGCGACCCTCACAGTAACAGCTCACCTCCCACCTCCTCCCTGTGGTTACCCTTTCCCTGTGTCCTTCTTGCCCATACATTGATGCCTCTCTACCTTTCCCCTGTGCAGATGCTGCCTTCTGATCTTCAACGACTGACTATTCTAAGGAGTGCATCTCCCTGATATAGTTGTTAGGTTCGTAATCCTGTCTACTGTTTGGCTGAAAGTGAAGCTATGGAAGTGAGTTTAATTCCAGACCCAAAGGGTGGCTTGGGGCCATAGCATCAGGGATTTCACTAGTCTCTATCTGGCCAGCAAACCTGGTCTTTTTTATGCTTTGGAATTTTGTTCCACGTTTTTCTCACACTCTGTCCAGGATCTCCAATTTTGGACTCTTTCCAGATGGTTGGCATTGGTAGCCAGGCATCATCTAGTTCTCCTAGTCTCAGAGTTTTGTAACTGAGGTCTTCATGGACTGTTTCCATGCATCTTTGATTTTCTTCACTCTTCTCTGCTGTGGTTGAGAGGAGACGAATAGTTGCCATCTTAGATGACCACTCACAAGCTTTTAAGACCCAGTTGTTACTGAAGTAAGGCATAGAACAATATTTTTGTGTACGGTGTTGTATCGATTGAGCTTGATGTCTCCTGCGACCATCATCTTTAGCCTGCAGGCCCAGTGACCAAGGAGCTTAGTTGTAGCTAAGAAGTTATCCTAACTTTGCCCCTTAACCTAAATTAATGCCCAGGGCCATCGTCTTGATGGTTTCACCAGTCTCTCTCAGACCAGTGATCTTGGGCTCTTTTTAAATTTTGTTTCACACTTATTCTCACGTTCTATCCAGGATCTCCAATTCTGGTCCCTTTCCAAGCGTTTAGCATTGGTAGCCAGCCCCCCATCTACTTCTTCTGATCTCAGGATCACGTAGTCTGAGGTTCCTGTGGTCCTCAGGATTACACAATGTAGTAGTCCCTTGTACTAATTGTAAGAAACTACCAAGTTTTGATGCATTATCAATTTTCTGAAAGGACTGTTTAACTACTCTTCTCTTTCCTAACTACACATCTTTGTAAAACGAGATTTTCTTCATATACATTAATCAAAATGATATATTACAAGAGATTAATATGATAATCTAGCTATCTTCTATTAAGCAATAAACTAAAGAGGTTAAATAATTATACTTATTAAATAATGATACTTATCTCTCTGAATTTCTTTGTCTTAAAAAATAAAGTTATTTTTCATTTTTAAAATCTTGTTTGCAAAAAACATAAAGCAATGCCATCCTTCTCCCTAAATCTTTTGGAAAATATAGTTATTTTTTAGGAAAAAAAATGATGTTATTTATGTTGAGCTTTAATGGTTTATTATTATTCTTTGTAAATAAAATAATAAAGAAATATTTTCAATTTCTGATACCTTAGTTATAACCCATATAAACAAAAGCTCCTTGGTGTCCTTAATTTCTAATAATGAAAAAGGGTCCCAAGACTAAATAACTTAATACAGCTTTTCTAAATTAATTCCATTTCTCCTGGTCTGTTTAGCTGCAACTTGACTGTACTTTGTAAATTGTTCCCTTATATTTCTGGGTTGAATATCTTTAGCTGTTCTGTAGCCCTCTATATACATGGGCTTAAAATAGAAACTCTGTGACACATGCCTACAGAAATGTTCAATGTGCTCCAAAAATGTCTGCAGAATTTCATAATATTTAAAAATACCAAGTTGCAAATTATAATTAAATTATA